CGTCTCAGGAGGTCGGTAGGGGCCCCCGGGCGTCTCGCCGGGCCTTTCTGCGGAGCCGTTTCTGCTGGAGCAGGAGCTGCAGGCGCTCCACCTTACAGCGCGTGGCGCGGTTTTCCGTCTGCCGCAGTCGGTCCCCTGTGGAGGAGACAGTGACCATGAATGACCCAGAGTGCCCCACTGGAGGCCAGGCCTCCCCAAACACCAGGAGCGCCTGCAGCTGTCCCCTGGGCAGCAGGCTCTGCACCCCCTTCCTGGGCACTCCCTCCAGCGACGGGGTCAGGATTGGCTACTGAATCTTCAGTGCATGGGGGTTGGGAGAGTTCACTAATTCCGGGGTAGTAGTTCATTAATTCTGCCTCTACTGTCCCCCGCTGTGAGCTCCCTGAGGGCAGGGCTGGGTGAGGATGGGCACTTGGAAGGCAGCCGTTATAGAAGTTAGCTGGAGCCCTGCGGGTGTCTCTGTGGGAGGGGGGACTTAGGCTTGTGTCCCCCTTTGGGACCTGGGCAGGGGGCCCACAACTCTACATGCATCCGGAATAACCAGGTTGTGGGGGTTGGGGGACACGGGCTGGGAAGCCAACCCCCTCCTCGGCCTGACTGGGCCATTCACAGAAGCTCCACTCGCCATCTGGAAAAGGTGCCCAAGGGGGGTGAGGAGGAAGTGAGGATGGACACCCCCGGGAAGGGCACAAAGACACTGTGTGCCCCCAACACACACACTCCCTTCTCCATGCGCTCCTGCAAAGCGGGAGGAGCAGGGCCAGAGGCAGCTGGCACATCCTCCCCCCACCCCCGCCCGCCATGGGCCCCAGGGGGCTCAGCTGCGCACAGAGGGGCCTTGAGCTACCAAAGTATGGGGGAGGCAGGGCAGACACTTACCAGGGGGCTTGCACAGGCGCGCCTGGTTCAGGGAGGCTGGGGCCGAGGCCGCCAGCTTCTCGCAGGAGGTAGTTTTGGGGGCGAGGTCCGGGGCGGGAGAGGCGGGTGTGCACTGGGCATGGCAGCGCAGCTGGGTCAGTGACGGGGGCATGCCCTGGTAGTGGCGTGTGGCACTCAGGAGGTCATTGAGGATCTGCAGGATGGTTCCGATGTCACGTCTCGGCCGCCCACTGCTGTCCTGGCAGTTGGGGTGCAGCGTGCCTGCAGAGGGGTGTGGATGAGTACCCAAGGGCTGGACATCTGGCCTGAAGTGCCCGGTTCCCAGGCTGAGACCCTGGGTGACATGGGTACTTGCACCCACATGTGCAGACATGTGGCCCGCTGGATGGCCATGCATGTGCGTGGAAATCCCAAGAGGACCTTTGAGAGTGTGTCCCATCCCCAGTGTGTGTGCATGTGACTGTTCCATGACACCTACCAGAGAAGGTCCCTGAGAAGACCCCTGGGGCGTGGTTTACGAAGCTCTCGATGACTGCGCCAGGTTTTCGGGAGCGGGAGGTGGGGCTACTCCCAGGAGCGGATGAGGGGCTGGCACCAGCGCTGGCAGGGGGGGAACAGTCCATCTGCTGATGGCAGGAGGGGGGCCGTCAGCTTGGGGTGCAAGGGGAGCCCTGGGGTTCAGGGTCAGGAGATCACTCACCACTACAGCACCAACCGAGGGTACAAGGAGGACCCTTGATACAAAAGACACCTCTAGGGCTCTGAGCACCTACCCTCCCACCGTCCAGGGAGAGCCTGCCTTCCCTAGACTTACCTCTGGGCAGGTGGTGGAGGCCGAGTGGGAGCGGAAAGAGCCAGCTGTGACAGGTGAGGACGAGGTGGGGGCAGGGCTGGTGGGCACTGGGGGGA